AGCCACTGCAAGGAAATCCGGCCTCCTTTCAAGTTAGGGCTTCTCGCTGTATATTCCCCTTGAGGCAGCAACCTCGGGGTCCCTCCCACATACCTATTGCTGAGAGAAGCCTCCTCCTGAGGTGCTTCTGGAAAGTTGACATACGTCTTGAGCCTAAGCCAGGGAATCAGCTCTCATCTCGAGATGATTTGTGGTACACGTAGCATTCCTCGAGTTGCTGTGCTGAAGTTGGAGTTCCTCTAGACTTGGGACTGTGTTCTCGGGGCATCTCTGGAGTTCCCTGAAGGAAGTCGAGCCACCGGTCGTGTTGAATGGGGAACGGGGAATTGCCCTGGAGTCAATGCAGGGGAATCGGGCCTCATCTCGAGTTGATTTGGGGCACATGGTGCTGCTTTGCGTTGCTGGGGTGACCTCAGGGTCCGTCTAGACTGGTGACAGTGTTCTTGGGGACTGTCTCGAGATCCATTAAGCAAGTCGAAGCTCCTGACTTGTTTGAATGGGATCACGGAATAGCTCTGCATGCACTGCAGGGGAATGGGGCCTCTTCTCGCCTCTAGGGGGAAGTCTCATTTTTTTTCTTGAGTTGCGGCTGGGACCTGGGGTATGTTCTCGACTTACGGCGGGGATGGCCCTTCAAAACACGAGTTTCTTCAATGACGTCAGGACTCCTGTCTAGTAACGAGGTTCACCTCATGAATCTCTTCGAGGCTTGGCAGGGCAAAAGCGACGCTTCTCGAGGTGAGGCAGGGCACCCAAGGACCCTTTCCAGTAGCCACAGGGATTTTGGGATTCCTATCAGTTTTCAAGAGGACTCAGGTATCGTCACCTTTTGAAGCAATGAACTCCGCGTGCCTCTCGAGATGTCACCGGGATGTGAGGCATTCCGTCAAAATGAGTCAGGGACCTAGGGCTTTCTCTAAGTTCTCCACAGGTGATTCAGACATTTCTTCATGTTGTGAGATGAAAGGCGAGCCTGTATTCAAGCCCCTGCAAGGAAATCCGGCCTCCTCTCAAGTTAGGGATTCTCGCTGTATATTCCCCTTGAGGCAGCATACTGGGGGTCCCTCCCATATACCTATTGCTGAGAGAAGCCTCCTCCTGAGGTGCTTCTGGAAAGTTGGCATACGTCTTGAGCCTAAGCCATGGAATCAGCTCTCATCTCGAGACGATTTGTGGTACACGCAGCATTCCTCGAGTTGCTGTGCTGAAGGTGGAGTTCCTCTAGACCTGGGACAGTGTTCTCAGGGCATCTCTGGAGTTGCCTGAAGGAAGTCGAGCCACCGGTCGTGTTGAATGGGGAACGGGGTATGGCTCTGGAGTCAATGCAGGGGAATCGGGCCTCATCTCGAGTTGACTTGGGGCACATGGAGGTGCTTTGCGTTGCTGGGGTGACCTCAGGGTCCGTCTAGACTGGTGACAGTGTTCTTGGGGACTGTCTCGATATCCAGTAAGCAAGTCGAAGCTCCTGACTTGTTTGAATGGGATCACGGAATAGCTCTGCATGCACTGCAGGGGAATGGGGCCTCATCTCGCCTCTAGGGGGAAGTCTCATGGTTTTTCTCGAGTTGCGGTGGGGACCTGGGGTATGTTCTCGACTTACGGCGGGGATGGCCCTTCAAAACACGAGTTTCTTCAGTGACGTCAGGACTCCTGTCTAGTAACGAGGGACACGTAGGGAATCTCTTCGAGGCTTGGCAGGGCAAAAGGGATGCTTCTCGAGGTGAGGCAGGGCACCCAAGGACCCTTTCCAGTAGCCAGAGTTATTTTGCGATTCCTATCAGTATTCAAGAGGAGTCAGGCATCGTCACCTTTTGAAGCAATGAACTCCGCGTGCCTCTCGAGGTGTCTGCGGGATATGAGGCATTCCGTCAAAATGAGGCAGGTACCTAGGGCTTTCTCTAAGGTCTCCACAGGGGATTCAGACATCCCTTCATGTTGTGAGATGAAAGACGAGCCTGTATTCAAGCCACTGCAAGGAAATCCGGCCTCCTTTCAAGTTAGGGCTTCTTGCTGTATATTCCTCTTGAGGCAGCAAACTCGGGGTCCCTCTCACATACCTGTTGCTGAGAGAAGCCTCCCCCTGAGGTGCTTCTGGAAAGTTGGCATACGTCTTGAGCCTAAGCCAGGGAATCAGCTCTCATCTGGAGACGATTTGTGGTACATGGAGCTTTCCTCGAGTTGCTGTGCTGAAGGTGGAGTTCCTCTAGACCTGGGACAGTGTTCTCGTGGCATCTTTGGAGTTGCCTGAAGGAAGTCGAGCCACCGGTCTTGTTGAATGGGGAACGGGGAAAGGCTCTGGAGTCAATCCATGGGAATCGGGCCTCATCTCGAGTTTACTTGGGGCACATGGAGCTGCTTTGCGTTGCTGGGGTGACCTCAGGGTCCATCTAGACTGGTGACAGTGTTCTAGGGGACTGTCTCGAGATCCATTAAGCAAGTCGAAGCTCCTGACTTGTTTGAATGGGATCACGGAATAGCTCTGCATGCACTGCAGGGGAATGGGGCCTCATCTCGCCTCTAGGGGGAAGTGTCATGGTTTTTCTCGAGTTGCGGTGGGGACCTGGGTTATGTTCTCGACTTAAGGCGGGGATGGCCCCTCAAAACACGAGTTTCTTCAGTGACGTCAGGACTCCTGTCTAGTAACGAGGGACATCTCTGGAATCTCTTCGAGCCTGGCAGGGCAAAAGGGACGTTTATCGAAGTGAGGCAGGGCACCCAAGGACCCTTTCCAGTAGCCACAGAGATTTTGGGATTCCTATCAGTATTCAAGAGGAGTCAGGCATCGTCACGTTTTGAAGCAATGAACTCCACGTGCCTCTCGAGGTGTCAGCGGGATGTGAGGCATTCCGTCAAAATGAGGCAGGGACCTAGGGCTTTCTCTAAGGTCTCCACAGGGGATTCAGATATCCCTTCATGTTGTGAGATGAAAGACGAGCCTGTATTCAAGCCACTGCAAGGAAATCCGGCCTCCTTTCGAGTTAGGGCTTCTCGCTGTTTATTCCCCTTGAGGCAGCAAACTCGGGGTCCCTCCCACATAGCTATTGCTGAGAGAAGCCTCCTCCTGAGGTCCTTCTGGAAAGTTCGCATACGTCTTGAGCCTAAGCCAGGGAATCAGCTCTCATCTCGAGACGATTTATGGTACACGGAGCATTCCTCGAGTTGCTGTGCTGAAGTTGGTGTTCCTCTAGACTTGGGACAGTGTTCTCAGGGCATCTCTGGAGTTCCCTGAAGGAAGTCGAGCCACCGGTCGTGTTGAATGTGGAACGGGGAAAGGCTCTGGAGTCAATCCAGGGGAATCGGGCCTCATCTCGAGTTGATTTGGGGCACATGGAGCTGCTTTGCGTTGCTGCGGTGACCTCAGGGTCCGTCTAGACTTCTGACAGTGTTCTTGGGGACTGTCTCGAGATCCATTAAGCAAGTCGAAGCTCCTGACTTGTTTGAATGGGATCACGGAATAGCTCTGCATGCACTGCAGTGGAATGGGGCCTCATCTCGCCTCTAGGGGGAAGTCTCATGGTTTTTCTCGAGTTGCGGCGGGGACCTGGGGTATGTTCTCGACTTACGGATGGGATGGCCCTTAAAAACACGAGTTTCTTCAGTGACGTCAGGACTCCTGTCTAGTAACGAGGGAGACCTCAGGAATCTCTTCGAGGCTTGCCAGGGCAAAAGGGACGCTTCTCGAGGTGAAGCAGGGCACCGAAGGACCCTTTCCAGTAGTCAGAGTTATTTTGGGATTCCTATCAGTATTCAAGAGGAGTCAGGCATCGTCACCTTTTGAAGCAATGAACTCCGCGTGCCTCTCGAGGTGTCAGCGGGATGTGAGGCATTCCGTCAAAATGAGGCAGGGACCTAGGGCTTTCTCTAAGGTCTCCACAGGGGATTCAGACATCCCTTCATGTTGTGAGATGAAAGACGAGCCTGTATTCAAGCCACTGCAAGGAAATCCGGCCTCCTTTCAAGTTAGGGCTTCTCGCTGTATATTCCCCTTGAGGCAGCAAACTGGGGTCCCTCCCACTTCCCTATTGCTGAGAGAAGCCTCCTCCTGAGGTGCTTCTGGAAAGTTGGCATATATCTTGAGCCTAAGCCAGGGAATCAGCTCTCATCTCGAGACGATTTGCGGTACACGGAGCATTCCCCGAGTTGCTGTGCTTAAGTTGGAGTTCCTCTAGACTTGGGACAGTGTTCTCGGGGCATCTCTGGAGTTGCCTGAAGGAAGTCGAGCCACCGGTCGTGTTGAATGGGGAACGGGGAATGGCTCTGGAGTCAATGCAGGGGAATCGGGCCTCATCTCGAGTTGATTTGGGGCACATGGAGCTGCTTTGCGTTGCTGAGGTGACCTCAGGGTCCGTCTAGACTGGTGACAGTGTTCTTGGGGACTGTCTCGAGACCCATTAAGCAAGTCGAAGCTCCTGACTTGTTTGAATGGGATCACGGAATAGCTCTGCATGCACTGCAGGGGAATGGGGCCTCATCTCGCCTCTAGGGGGAAGTCTCATGGTTTTTCTCGAGTTGCGGCGGGGACCTGGTGTATGTTCTCGACTTACGGCGGGGATGGCCCTTCAAAACACGAGTTTCCTCAGTGACGTCAGGACTCCTGTCTAGTAACGAGGGACACCTCAGGAATCTCTTCGAGGCTTTGCAGGGCAGAAGGGACGCTTCTCGAGATGAGGCAGGCCACCCAAGGACCCTTTCCAGTAGCCAGAGTTATTTTGGGATTCCTATCAGTATTCAAGAGGAGTCAGGCATCGTCATCTTTTAAGCAATGAAATCCGCGTACCTCTCGAAGTGTCAGCGGGATGTGAGGCATTCCGTCAAAATGAGGCAGGGACATAGGGCTTTCTCTAAGGTCTCCACAGGGGATTCAGACATCCCTTCAGGTTTTGAGATCAAAGACGAGCCTGTATTCTAGCCACTGCAAGGAAATCCGGCCTCCTTTCAAGTTAGGGCTTCTTGCTGTATATTCCCCTTGAAGCAGCATACTCGGGGTCCCTCCCACATACCTATTGCTGAGAGAAGACTCCTCCTGAGGTGCTTCTGGAAAGTTGGCATACGTCTTGAGCCTAAGCCAGGGAATCAGCTCTCATCTCGAGACGATTTGGGGTACACGGAGCATTCCTCGAGTTGCTGTGCTGAAGTTGGTGTTCCTCTAGACTTGGGACAGTGTTCTCGGGGCATTTCTGGAGTTGCCTGAAGGAAGTCGCGCCACCGGTCGTGTTGAATAGGGAACGGGAAAAGGCTCTGGAGGCAATGCAGGGGAATCGGGCCTCATCTCGAGTTGACTTGGGGCACATGGAGCTGCTTTGCGTTGCTGAGGTGACCTCAGGGTCCGTCTAGACTGGTGACAGTGTTCTTGGGGACTGTCTCGAGACCCATTAAGCAAGTCGAAGCTCCTGACTTGTTTGAATGGGATCACGGAATAGCTCTGCATGCACTGCAGGGGAATGGGTCCTCATCTCGCCTCTAGGGGGAAGTCTCATGGTTTTTCTCGAGTTGCGGCGGGGACCTGGGCTATGTTCTCAACTTACGGCGGGGATGGCCCTTCAAAACACGAGTTTCTTCAGTGACGTCAGGACTCCTGTCTAGTAACGAGGGACTCCTCAGGAATCTCTTCGAGGCTTTGCAGGTCAAAATGACGCTTCTCGAGATGAGGCAGGCCACCCAAGGACCCTTTCCAGTAGCCAGAGTTATTTTGGGATTCCTATCAGTATTCAAGAGGAGTCAGGCATCGTCACCTTTTGAAGCAATGAACTCCGCGTGCCTCTCGAGGTGTCAGCGGGATGTGAGGCATTCCGTCAAAATGAGGCAGGGACCTAGGGATTTCTCTAAGGTCTCCACAGGGGATTCAGACATCCCTTCAGGTTGTGACATGAAAGACGAGCCTGTGTTCAAGCCACTGCAAGGAAATCCGGCCTCCTTTCAAGTTAGGGCTTCTCGCTGTATATTCCCCTTGAGGCAGCAAACTCGAGGTCCCTCCCACATACCTATTGCTGAGAGAAGCCTCCTCCTGAGGTTCTTCTGGAAAGTTGGCATATATCTAGCCTAAGCCAGGGAATCAGCTCTCATCTCGAGACGATTTGGGGTACACGGAGCAATCCTCGAGTTGCTGTGCTGAAGTTGGAGTTCCTCTAGACTTGGGACAGTGTTCTCGGGGCATCTCTGGAGTTGCCTGAAGGAAGTCGAGCCACCGGTCGTGTTGAATGGGGAACGGGGAATGGCTCTGGAGTCAATGCAGGGGAATCGGGCCTCATCTCGAGTTGACTTGGGGCACATGGAGCTGCTTTCCGTTGCTGGGGTGACCTCAAGGTCCGTCTAGACTGGTGACAGTGTTCTTGGGGACTGTCTCGAGATCCATTAAGCAAGTCGAAGCTCCTGACTTGTTTGAATGGGATCACGGAATAGCTCTGCATGCACTGCAGGGGAATGGGGCCTCATCTGGACTCTAGGGGGAAGTCTCATGGTTTTTCTCCAGTTGCGGCGGGGACTTGGGGTATGTTCTCGACTTACGGCGGGGATGGCCCTTCAAAACACGAGCTTCTTCAGTGACGTCAGGACTCCTGTCTAGTAACGAGGGCCACCTCAGGAATATCCTCGAGCCTTGGCAGGGCGAAAGGGACGCTTCTCGAGGTGAGGCAGGGCACCCAAGGACCCTTTCCAGTAGCCACAGGGAGTTTGGGATTCCTATCAGTATTCAAGAGGAGTCAGGCATCGTCATCTTTTGAAGCAATGAACTCCGCGTGCCTCTCGAGGTGTCAGCGGGATGTGAGGCATTCCGTCAAAATGAGGCAGACACCTAGGTCTTTCTCTAAGGTCTCCACAGGGGATTCAGACATCCCTTCATGTTGTGAGATGAAAGAGGAGCCGGTATTCAAGCCATTGCAAGGAAATCCGGCCTCCTTTCAAGTTAGGGCTTCTCGCTGTATATTCCCCTTGAGGCAGCAAACTCGGGGTCCCTCCCACATACCTATTGCTGAGAGAAGCCTCCTCCTGAGGTGCTTCTGGAAAGTTGGCATACGTCTTGAGACTAAGCCAGGGAATCAGCTCTCATCTCGAGACGATATGGGGTACACGGAGCATTCCTCGAGTTGCTGTGCTGAAGGTGGAGTTCCTCTAGACCTGGGATAGTGTTCTCGGGGCATCTCTGGAGTTGCCTGAAGGAAGTCGAGCCACCGGTCGTGTTGAATGGGGAACGGAGAATGGCTCTGGAGTCAATGCAGGGGAATCGGGCCTCATCTCGAGTTGACTTGGGGCACATGGAAGTGCTTTGCGTTGCTCGGGTAACCTCAGGGTCCGTCTAGACTGGTGACAGAGTTCTTGGGGACTGTCTCGAGATCCATTAAGCAAGTCGAAGCTCCTGACTTGTTTGAATGGGATCACGGAATAGCTCTGCATGCACTGCAGGGGAATGGGGCCTCATCTCGCCTCTAGGGGGAAGTCTCATGGTTTTTCTCGAGTTGCGGGGGTTCCTGGGGTATGTTCTCGACTTACGGCGGGGATGGCCCTTCAAAACACGAGTTTCTTCAGTGACGTCAGGACTACTGTCTAGTAACGAGGGACACCTCAGGAATCTCTTCGAGGCTTGGCAGGGCAAAACGGACGCTTCTCGAGGTGAGGCAGGGCACCCAAGGACCCTTTCCACTAGGCACAGGGATTTTGGGATTCCTATCAGTATTCAAGACGAGTCAGGCATCGTCACCTTTTGAAGCAATGAACTCCGCGTGCCTCTCGAGGTGTCAGCGCGATGTGAGGCATTCCGTCAAAATGAGGCATGGACCTAGGGCTTTCTCTAAGGTCTCCACAAGGGATTCAGACATCCCTTCAGGTTTTGAGATCAAAGACGAGCCTGTTTTCTAGCCACTGCAAGGAAATCCGGCCTCCTTTCAAGTTAGGGCTTCTCGCTGTATATTCCCCTTGAATCAGCAAACTCGGGGTCCCTCCCACATACCTATTGCTGAGAGAAGCCTCCTCCTGAGGTGCTTCTGGAAAGTTGGCATACGTCTTGAGCCTAAGCCAGGGAATCAGCTCTCATCTCGAGACGATTTTTGGTACACGGAGCATTCCTCGAGTTGCTGTGCTGAAGTTTTAGTTCCTCTAGACTTGGGACAGTGTTCTCGGGGCATCTCTGGAGTTGCCTGAGGAAATCGAGGCACCGGTCGTGTTGAATGGGGAACGGGGAATGGCTCTGGAGTCAATGCAGGGGAATCGGGCCTCATCTCGAGTTGACTTGGGGCACATGTAGCTGCTTTCCATTGCTGGGGTTTCCTCAAGGTCCGTCTAGACTGGTGACAGTGTTCTTGGGGACTGTCTCGAGATCCATTAAGCAAGTCGAAGCTCCTGACTTGTTTGAATGGGATCACGGAATAGCTCTGCATGCACTGCAGGGGAATGGGGCCTCATCTCGCCTCTAGGGGGAAGTCTCATGGTTTTTCTCGAGTTGCGGCGGGGACCTGGGGTATGTTCTCGACTTACGGCGGGGATGGCCCTTCAAAACACGAGTTTCTTCAGTGACGTCAGGACTCCTGTCTAGTAACGAGGGACACCTCAGGAATCTCTTCGAGGCTTGGCAGGGCAAAAGGGATGCTACTCGAGGTGCGGCAGGGCACCCAAGGACCCTTTCCAGTAGCCAGAATTATTTTGGGATTCCTATCAGTATTCAAGAGGAGTCAGGCATCGTCACCTTTTGAAGCAATGAACTCCGCGTGCCTCTCGAGGTGTCAGCGGGATGTGAGGCATTCCGTCAAAATGAGGCAGGTACCTAGGGCTTTCTCTAAGGTCTCCACAGGGGATTCAGACATCCCTTCATGTTGTGAGATGAAAGACGAGCCTGTATTCAAGCCACTGCTAGGAAATCCGGCCTCCTTTCAAGTTAGGGCTTCTCGCTGTATATTCCCCTTGAGGCAGCAAACTCGGGGTCCCTCCCACATACCTATTGCTGAGAGAAGCCTCCTCCTGAGGTGCTTCTGGAAAGTTGGCATACGTCTTGAGCCTAAGCCAGGGAATCAGCTCTCATCTCGAGACGATATGGGGTACACGGAGCATTCCTCGAGTTGCTGTGCTGAAGGTGGAGTTCCTCTAGACCTGGGACAGTGTTCTCGGGGCATCTCTGGAGTTGCCTGAAGGAAGTCGAGCCACCGGTCGTGTTGAATAGGGAACGGAGAATGGCTCTGGAGTCAATGCAGGGGAATCGGGCCTCATCTCGAGTTGACTTGGGGCACATGGAGGTGCTTTGCGTTGCTCGGATAACCTCAGGGTCCGTCTAGACTGGTGACAGAGTTCTTGGGGACTGTCTCGAGATCTCTTAAGCAAGTCAAAGCTCCTGACTTGTTTGAATGGGATCACGGAATAGCTCTGCATGCACTGCAGGGGAATTGGGCCTCATCTCGCCTCTAGGAGGAAGTCTCATGGTTTTTCTCGAGTTGCGGCGGGGACCTGGGGTATGTTCTCGACTTACGGCGGGGATGGCCCTTCAAAACACGAGTTTCTTCAGTGACGTCAGGACTCCTGTCTAGTAACTAGGGACACCTCAGGAATCTCTTCGAGGCTTGGCAGGGCAAAAGGGACGCTTCTCGAGGTGAGGCAGGGCACCCAAGGACCCTTTCCACTAGGCACAGGGATTTTGGGATTCCTATCAGTATTCAAGAGGAGTCAGGCATCTTCACCTTTTGAAGCAATGAACTCCACGTGCCTCTCGAGGTGTCAGCGCGATGTGAGGCATTCCGTCAAAATGAGGCATGGACCTAGGACTTTCTTTAAGGTCTCCACAGGGGATTCAGACATCCCTTCAGGTTTTGAGATCAAAGACGAGCCTGTATTCTAGCCACTGCAAGGAAATCCGGCCTCCTTTCAAGTTAGGGCTTCTCGCTGTATATTCCCCTTGAGGCAGCAAACTCGGGGTCCCTCCCACATACCTATTGCTGAGAGAAGCCTCCTCCTGAGGTGCTTCTGGAAAGTTGGCATACGTCTTGAGCCTAAGCCAGGGAATCAGCTCTCATCTCGAGACGTTTTGCGGTACACGGAGCATTCCTCGAGTTGCTGTGCTGAAGTTGGAGTTCCTCTAGACTTGGGACAGTGTTCTTAGGGCATCTCTGTAGTTGCCTGAGGAAGTCGAGCCACCGGTCGTGTTGAATGGGGAACGGGGAATGGCTCTGGAGTCAATGCAGGGGAATCGGGCCTCATCTCGAGTTGACTTGGGGCACATGGAGCTGCTTTCCGTTGCTGGGGTTACCTCAAGGTCCGTCTAGACTGGTGACAGTATTCTTGGGGACTGTCTCGAGATCCATTAAGCAAGTGGAAGCTCCTGACTTGTTTGAATGGGATCACGGAATATCTCTGCATGCACTGCAGGGGAATGAGGTCTCATCTGGCCTCTAGGGGGAAGTCTCATGGTTTTTCTCGAGTTGCGGCGGGGACCTGGGGTATGTTCTCGACTTACGGCGGGGATGGCCCTTCAAAACACGAGTTTCTTCAGTGACGTCAGGACTCCTGTCTAGTAACGAGGGACACCTCAGGAATCTCTTCGAGGCTTGGCAGGGCAAAAGGGACGCTTCTCGAGGTGAGGCATGGCCCCAAGGACCCTTTCCAGTAGCCACAGGTATTTTGGGATTCCTATCAGTATTCAAGAGGAGTCAGGCATCGTCACCTTTTGAAGCAATGAACTCCACGTGCCTCTCGAGGTGTCAGCGCGATGTGAGGCATTCCGTCAAAATGAGGCAGGGACCTAGGGCTTTCTCTAAGGTCTCCACAGGGGATTCAGACATCCCTTCAGGTTTTGAGATCAAAGACGAGCCTGTATTCTAGCCACTGCAAGGAAATCCAGCCTCCTTTCAATTTAGGACTTCTCGCTGTATATTCCCCTTTAGGCAGCATACTCGGGGTACCTCCCACATACCTATTGTTGAGAGAAGCCTCCTCCGAGGTGCTTCTGGAAAGTTGGCATACGTCTTGAGCCTAAGCCAGGGAATCAGCTCTCATCTCGAGACGATTTGGGGTACAAGGAGCATTCCTCGAGTTGCTGTGCTGAATTTGGTGTTCCTGTAGACTTGGGACAGTGTTCTCGGGGCATCTCTGGAGTTGCCTGAAGGAAGTCAAGCCACCGGTCGTGTTGAATGGGGAACGGGGAAAGGCTCTGGAGTCAATCCAGGGGAATCGGGCCTCATCTCTAGTTGATTTGGGGCACGTGCAGCTGCTTTGCGTTGCTGCGGTGACCTCAGGGTCCGTCTAGACTGGTGACAGTGTTCTTGGGGACTGTCTCGAGATCCATTAAGCAAGTCGAAGCTCCTGACTTGTTTGAATGGGATCACGGAATAGCTCTGCATGCACTGCAGGGGAATGGGGCCTCATCTCGCCTCTAGGGGGAAGTCTCATGGGTTTTCTCGAGTTGCGGCGGGGACCTGGGGTATGTTCTCGACTTAAGGCGAGGATGGCCCTTCAAAACACGAGTTTCTTCAGTGACGTCAGGACTCCTGTCTAGTAACGAGGGACACCTCAGGAATCTCTTCGAGGCTTGGCAGGGCAAAAGGGACGCTTCTCGAGGTGAGGCAGGGCATCCAAGGACCCTTTCCACTAGCCTCAGGGATTTTGGGATTCCTATCAGTATTCAAGAGGAGTCAGGCATCGTCACCTTTTGAAGCAATGAACTCCACGTGCCTCTCGAGGTGTCAGCGCGATGTGAGGAATTCCGTCAAAATGAGGCAGGGACCTAGGGCTTTCTCTATGGTCTCCACAGGGGATTCAGACATCCCTTCAGGTTCTGAGATCAAAGACGAGCCTGTATTCTAGCCACTGCAAGGAAATCCGGCCTCCTTTCAAGTTAGGGCTTCTCGCTGTATATTCCCCTTGAGGCAGCATACTCGGGGTCCCTCCCACATACCTATTGCTGAGAGAAGCCTCCTCCGAGGTGCTTCTGGATAGTTGGCATACGTCTTGAGCCTAAGCCAGGGAATCAGCTCTCATCTCGAGACGATATGGGGTACACGGAACATTCCTCGAGTTGCTGTGCTGAAGTTGGATGTTCCTCTAGACTTGGGACAGTGTTCTCGGGGCATCTCTGGAGTTGCCTGAAGGAAGTCGAGCCACCGGTCGTGTTTAATGGGGAACGGGGAATGGCTCTGGAGTCAATGCAGGGGAATCGGGCCTCATCTCGAGTTGACTTGGGGCACATGGAGCTGCTTTCCGTTGCTGGGGTGACCTCAAGGTCCGTCTACACTGGTGACAGTGTTCTTGGGGACTGTCTCGAGATCCATTAAGCAAGTCGAAGCTCCTGACTTGTTTGAATGGGATCACGGAATAGCTCTGCATGCACTGCATGGGAATGGGGCCTCATCTCGCCTCTATGGGGAAGTCTCATGGTTTTTCTCGAGTTGCGGCGGGGACCTGGAGTATGTTCTCGACTTACGGCGGGGATGGCCCTTCAAAACACGAGTTTCTTCAGTGACGTCAGGACTCCTGTCTAGTAACGAGGGCCACCTCAGGAATCTCCTCGAGCCTTGGCAGGGCGAAAGGGACGCTTCTCGAAGTGAGGCAGGGCACCCAAGGACCCTTTCCAGTAGCCACAGGGAGTTTGGGATTCCTATCAGTATTTAAGAGGAGTCAGGCATTGTCATCTTTTGAAGCAATGAACTCCGCGTGCCTCTCGAGGTGTCAGCGGGATGTGAGGCATTCCGTCAAAATGAAGCAGAGACCTAGGTCTTTCTCTAAGGTCTCCACAGCGGATTCAGACATCCCTTCATGTTGTGAGATGAAAGAGGAGCCTGTATTCAAGCCATTGCAAGGAAATCCGGCCTTCTTTCAAGTTAGGGCTTCTCGCTGTATATTCCCCTTGAGGCAGCAAACTCGAGGTCCCTCCCACATACCTATTGCTGAGAGAAGCCTCCTCCTGAGGTGCTTCTGGAAAGTTGGCATAGGTCTTTAGCCTAAGACAGGGAATCAGCTCTCATCTCGAGACGATTTGGGGTACACGGAGCAATCCTCGAGTTGCTGTGCTGAAGTTGGAGTTCCTCTAGACTTGGGGCAGTGTTCTCGGGGCATCTCTGGAGTTGCCTGAAGGAAGTCGAGCCACCGGTCGTGTTGAATGGTGAACAGGGAATGTCTCTGTAGTCAATGCAGTGGAATCAGGCCTCGTCTCGAGTTGATGTGGGGCACATGGAGCTGCTTTGCGTTGCTGGGGTGACCTCAGGGGCCGTCTAGACTGGTGACAGTGTTCTTGGGGACTGTCTCGAGATCCATTAAGCAAGTCGAAGATCCTGACTTGTTTGAATGGGATCTCGGAATAGCTCTGCATCCACTGCAGGGGAATGGGGCCTCATCTCGCCCCTAGGGGGAATTCTCATGGTTTTTCTCGAGTTGCGGTGGGACCTGGGGTATGTTCTCGACTTACGGCGGGGATGGCCCTTCAAAACACGAGTTTCTTCAGGGACGTCAGGACTCCTGTCTAGTAACGAGGGACACCTCATGAATCTCTTCGAGGCTTGGCAGGGCAAAAGGGACGCTTCTCGAGGTGAGGCAGGGCACCCAAGGACCCTTTCCAGTAGCCACAGGGATTTTGGGATTCCTATCAGTATTCAAGAGGAGTCAGGCATCATCACCTTTTGAAGCAAGGAACTCCGCGTGCCTCTCGAGGTGTCAGCGGGACGTGAGGCATTCCGTCAAAATGAGGCAGGGACCTAGGGCTTTCTCTAAGGTCTCCACAGCGGATTCAGACATCCCTTCATGTTGTGAGATGAAAGACGCGCCTGTATTCAAGCCACTGCAAGGAAATCCGGCCTCCTTTCAAGTTAGGGCTTCTCGCTGTATATTCCCCTTGAGGCAGCAAACTCGGGGTCCCTCCCACATAACTATTGCTGAGAGAAGCCTGCTCCTGAGGTGCTTCTGGAATGTTGGCATACGTCTTGAGCCTAAGCCAGGGAATCAGCTCTCATCTCGAGACGATTTGTGGTACACGGAGCATTGCTCGAGTTGCTGTGCTGAAGGTGGAGTTCCTCTAGACATGGGACAGTGTTCTCGGGGCATCTCTTGAGTGGCCTGAAGGAAGTCGAGCCACCGGTCGTGTTGAATGGGGTACGGGGAATGGCTCTGTAGTCAATGCAGGGGAATCGGCCCTCATCTCGAGTTGACTTGGGGCACATGGAGGTGCTTTGCGTTGCTGGGGTGACCTCAGGGTCCGTCTAGACTGGTGACAGAGTTCTTGGGGACTGTCTCGAGATCCATTAAGCAAGTCGAAGCTCCTGACTTGTTTGAATGGGATCACGGAATAGCTCTGCATGCACTGCAGGGGAATGGGGCCTCATCTCGCCTCTAGGGGGAAGTCTCATGGTTTTTCTTGAGTTGCGGCGGGGACTTGGGGTATGTTCTTGACTTACAGCTGGGATGGCCCTTCAAAACACAAGTTTCTTCAGTGACGTCAGGACTCCTGTCTAGTAACGAGGGACACCTCAGGAATCTCTTCGAGGCTTGGCAGGGCAAAAGGGACGCTTCTCTAGGTGAGGCAGGGCACCCAAGGAACCTTTCCAGTAGCCACAGGGATTTTCGGATTCCTATCAGTGTTCAAGAGGAGTCAGGCATCGTCATCTTTTGAAGCAATGAAATCCGCGTGCCTCTCGAGGTGTCAGCGGGATGTGAGGCATTCCGTCAAAATGAGGCAGGGACCTAGGGCTTTCTCTAAGGTCTCCACAGGGGATTCAGATATCCCTTCAGGTTTTGAGATCAAAGACGAGCCTGTATTCTAGCCACTGCAAGGAAATCCGGCCTCCTTTCAAGTTAGGGCTTCTCGCTGTATATTCCCCTTGAAGCAGCATACTCGGGGTCCCTCCCACGTACCTATTGCTGAGAGAAGACTCCTCCTGAGGTGCTTCTGGAAAGTTGGCATACGTCTTGAGCCTAAGCCAGGGAATCAGCTCTCATCTCGAGACGATTTGGGGTACACGGAGCATTCTTCAAGTTGCTGTGCTGAAGTTGGTGTTCCTCTAGACTTGGGACAGTGTTCTCGGGGCATTTCTGGAGTTGCCTGAAGGAAGTCGAGCCACCGGTCTTGTTGAATGGGGAACGGGGAAAGGCTCTGGAGGCAATGGAGGGGAATCGGGCCTCATCTCGAGTTGATTTGGGGCACATGGAGCTGCTTTGCGTTGCTGCGGTGACTTCAGGGTCCGTCTAGACTTGTGACAGTGTTCTTGGGGACTGTCTCGAGATCCATTAAGCAAGTCGAAGCTCCTGACTTGTTTGAATGGGATCACGGAATAGCTCTGCATGCACTGCAGGGGAATGGGGCCTCATCTCGCCTCTAGGGGGAAGTCTCATTGTTTTTCTCGAGTTGCGGCAGGGACCTGGGGTATGTTCTCGACTTAAGGGGGGGATGGCCCTTCAAAACACGAGTTTCTTCAGTGACGTCAGGACTCCTGTCTAGTAACGAGGGACACCTCAGGAATCTCTTCGAGGCTTGGCAGGGCAAAAGGGACGTTTCTCGAAGTGAGGCAGGGTACCCAAGGACCCTTTCCAGTAGCCACAGGGATTTTGGGATTCCTATCAGTATTCAAGAGGAGTCAGGCATCGTCACCTTTTGAAGCGATGAACTCCACGTGCCTCTCGAGGTGTCAGCGGGATGTGAGGCATTCCGTCAAAATGAGGCAGGGACCTGGGCTTTCTCTAAGGTCTCCACAGGGGATTCAGACATCCCTTCAGGTTTTAAGATCAAAGACGAGCCTGTATTCTAGCCACTGAAAGGAAATCCGGCCTCCTTTCAAGTTACGGCTTCTCGCTGTATATTCCCCTTGAGGCAGCATACTCGGGGTCCCTCCCACATACCTATTGCTGAGAGAAGCCTCCTCCTGAGGTGCTTCTGGAAAGGTGGCATACGGCTTGAGCCTAAGCCAGGGAATCAGCTCTCATCTCGAGACGATTTGGGGTACACGGAGCATTCCTCGAGTTGCTGTGCTGAAGTTGGTGTTCCTCTAGACTTGGGACAGTGTTCTCGGGGCATCTCTGGAGTTGCCTGAAGGAAGTCGAGCCACCGGTCGTGTTGAATGTGGAACGGGGAAAGGCTCTGGTGTCAATCCAGGGGAATCGGGCCTCATCTCGAGTTGATTTGGGGCACATAGAGCTGCTTTGCGTTGCTGCGGTGACCTCAGGGTCCGTCTAGACTGGTGACAGTGTTCTTGGGGACTGTCTCGAGATCCATTAAGCAAGTCGAAGCTCCTGACTTGTTTGAATGGGATCACGGAATAGCTCTGCATGCACTGCAGGGGAATGGGGCCTCATCTCGCCTCTAGGGGGAAGTCTCATTGTTTTTCTCGAGTTGCGGCGGGGACCTGGGGTATGTTCTCGACTTACGGAGGGGATGGCCCTTAAAAACACGAGTTTCTTCAGTGACGTCAGGACTCCTGTCTAGTAACGAGGGCCACCTCAGGAATCTCCTCGAGCCTTGGCAGGGGAAAAGGGACGCTTCTCGAGGTGAGGCAGGGCACCCAAGGACCCTTTCCAGTAGCCAGAGGTATTTTGGGATTCCTATCAGTATTCCAGAGGAGTCAGGCATTGTCACCTTTTAAAGCAATGAACTCCACGTACCTCTCGAGGTGTCAGCGGGATGTGAGGCATCCCGTCAAAATGAGGCAGGGACCTAGGGCTTTCTCTAAGGTCTCCACAGGGGATTGAGACATCCCTTCAGGTTTTGAGATCAAAGACGAGCCTGTATTCTAGCCACTGCAAGGAAATCCGGCCTCCTTTCAAGTTAGGGCTTCGCGCTGTATATTCCACTTGAGGCAGCAAACTCGGGGTCCCACCCACATACCTATTGCTGAGAGAAGCCTCCTCCTGAGGAGCTTCTGGAAAGTTGGCATACGTCTTGAGCGTAAGCCAGGGAATCAGCTCTCATCTCGAGACGATTTGGTGTACACGGAGCATTCCTCGAGTTGCTGTGCTGAAGTTGGAGTTCCTCTAGACTTGGGACAGTGTTCTCGGGGCATCTCTGGAGTTGCCTGAAGGAAGTCGAGCCACCGGTCTTGTTGAATGGGGAACGGGGAATGGCTCTGGAGTCAATGCAGGGGAATCGGGCCTCATCTCGAGTTGATTTGGGGCACATGGAGCTGCTTTGCGTTGCTGGGTTGACCTCAGGGTCCGTCTAGACTGGTGACAGTGTTCTTGGGGACTGTCACGAGACCCATTAAGCAAGTCGAAGCTCCTGACTTGTTTGAATGGGATCACGGAATAGCTCTGAATGCACTGCAGGGGAATGGGGCCTCATCTCGCCTCTAGGGGGAAGTCTCATGGTTTTTCTCGAGTTGCGGTGGGGACCTGGGGTATGTTCTCGACTTACGGCGGGGATGGCCCTTCAAAACACGAGTTTCTTCAGTGACGTCAGGACTCCTGTCTAGTAACGAGGGACACCTCAGGAATCTCTTCGAGGCTTGGCAGGGCAAAAGGGACGCTTCTCTAGGTGAGGCAGGGCACCCAAGGAACCTTTCCAGTAGCCACAGGGATTTTCGGATTCCTATCAGTGTTCAAGAGGAGTCAGGCATCGTCATCTTTTGAAGCAATGAAATCCGCGTGCCTCTCGAGGTGTCAGCGGGATGTGAGGCATTCAGTCAAAATGAGGCAGGGACCTAGGGCTTTCTCTAAGGTCTCCACAGGGGATTCAGACATCCCTTCAGGTTTTGAGATCAAAGACGAGCCTGTATTCTAGCCACTGCAAGGAAATCCGGCCTCCTTTCAAGTTAGGGCTTCTCGCTGTATATTCCCCTTGAAGCAGCATACTCGGGGTCCCTCCCACGTACCTATTGCTGAGAGAAGACTCCTCCTGAGGTGCTTCTGGAAAGTTGGCATACGTCTTGAGCCTAAGCCAGGGAATCAGCTCTCATCTCGAGACGATTTGGGGTACACGGAGCATTCTTCAAGTTGCTGTGCTGAAGTTGGTGTTCCTCTAGACTTGGGACAGTGTTCTCGGGGCATTTCTGGAGTTGCCTGAAGGAAGTCGAGCCACCGGTCTTGTTGAATGGGGAACGGGGAAAGGCTCTGGAGGCAATGGAGGGGAATCGGGCCTCATCTCGAGTTGATTTGGGGCACATGGAGCTGCTTTGCGTTGCTGCGGTGACTTCAGGGTCCGTCTAGACTTGTGACAGTGTTCTTGGGGACTGTCTCGAGATCCATTAAGCAAGTCGAAGCTCCTGACTTGTTTGAATGGGATCACGGAATAGCTCTGCATGCACTGCAGGGGAATGGGGCCTCATCTCGCCTCTAGGGGGAAGTCTCATTGTTTTTCTCGAGTTGCGGCAGGGACCTGGGGTATGTTCTCGACTTAAGGGGGGGATGGCCCTTCAAAACACGAGTTTCTTCAGTGACGTCAGGACTCCTGTCTAGTAACGAGGGACACCTCAGGAATCTCTTCGAGGCTTGGCAGGGCAAAAGGGACGTTTCTCGAAGTGAGGCAGGGTACCCAAGGACCCTTTCCAGTAGCCACAGGGATTTTGGGATTCCTATCAGTATTCAAGAGGAGTCAGGCATCGTCACCTTTTGAAGCGATGAACTCCACGTGCCTCTCGAGGTGTCAGCGGGATGTGAGGCATTCCGTCAAAATGAGGCAGGGACCTGGGCTTTCTCTAAGGTCTCCACAGGGGATTCAGACATCCCTTCAGGTTTTAAGATCAAAGACGAGCCTGTATTCTAGCCACTGAAAGGAAATCCGGCCTCCTTTCAAGTTACGGCTTCTCGCTGTATATTCCCCTTGAGGCAGCATACTCGGGGTCCCTCCCACATACCTATTGCTGAGAGAAGCCTCCTCCTGAGGTGCTTCTGGAAAGGTGGCATACGGCTTGAGCCTAAGCCAGGGAATCAGCTCTCATCTCGAGACGATTTGGGGTACACGGAGCATTCCTCGAGTTGCTGTGCTGAAGTTGGTGTTCCTCTAGACTTGGGACAGTGTTCTCGGGGCATCTCTGGAGTTGCCTGAAGGAAGTCGAGCCACCGGTCGTGTTGAATGTGGAACGGGGAAAGGCTCTGGTGTCAATCCAGGGGAATCGGGCCTCATCTCGAGTTGATTTGGGGCACATAGAGCTGCTTTGCGTTGCTGCGGTGACCTCAGGGTCCGTCTAGACTGGTGACAGTGTTCTTGGGGACTGTCTCGAGATCCATTAAGCAAGTCGAAGCTCCTGACTTGTTTGAATGGGATCACGGAATAGCTCTGCATGCACTGCAGGGGAATGGGGCCTCATCTCGCCTCTAGGGGGAAGTCTCATGGTTTTTCTCGAGTTGCGGCGGGGACCTGGGGTATGTTCTCGACTTACGGAGGGGATGGCCCTTAAAAACACGAGTTTCTTCAGTGACGTCAGGACTCCTGTCTAGTAACGAGGGCCACCTCAGGAATCTCCTCGAGCCTTGGCAGGGGAAAAGGGACGCTTCTCGAGGTGAGGCAGGGCACCCAAGGACCCTTTCCAGTAGCCAGAGGTATTTTGGGATTCCTATCAGTATTCCAGAGGAGTCAGGCATTGTCACCTTTTAAAGCAATGAACTCCACGTACCTCTCGAGGTGTCAGCGGGATGTGAGGCATCCCGTCAAAATGAGGCAGGGACCTAGGGCTTTCTCTAAGGTCTCCACAGGGGATTGAGACATCCCTTCAGGTTTTGAGATCAAAGACGAGCCTGTATTCTAGCCACTGCAAGGAAATCCGGCCTCCTTTCAAGTTAGGGCTTCGCGCTGTATATTCCACTTGAGGCAGCAAACTCGGGGTCCCACCCACATACCTATTGCTGAGAGAAGCCTCCTCCTGAGGAGCTTCTGGAAAGTTGGCATACGTCTTGAGCGTAAGCCAGGGAATCAGCTCTCATCTCGAGACGATTTGGTGTACACGGAGCATTCCTCGAGTTGCTGTGCTGAAGTTGGAGTTCCTCTAGACTTGGGACAGTGTTCTCGGGGCATCTCTGGAGTTGCCTGAAGGAAGTCGAGCCACCGGTCTTGTTGAATGGGGAACGGGGAATGGCTCTGGAGTCAATGCAGGGGAATCGGGCCTCATCTCGAGTTGATTTGGGGCACATGGAGCTGCTTTGCGTTGCTGGGTTGACCTCAGGGTCCGTCTAGACTGGTGACAGTGTTCTTGGGGACTGTCACGAGACCCATTAAGCAAGTCGAAGCTCCTGACTTGTTTGAATGGGATCACGGAATAGCTCTGAATGCACTGCAGGGGAATGGGGCCTCATCTCGCCTCTAGGGGGAAGTCTCATGGTTTTTCTCGAGTTGCGGTGGGGACCTGGGGTATGTTCTCGACTTACGGCGGGGATGGCCCTTCAAAACACGAGTTTCTTCAGTGACGTCAGGACTCCTGTCTAGTAACGAGGGACACCTCAGGAATCTCTTCGAGGCTTGGCAGGGCAAAAGGGACGCTTCTCTAGGTGAGGCAGGGCACCCAAGGAACCTTTCCAGTAGCCACAGGGATTTTCGGATTCCTATCAGTGTTCAAGAGGAGTCAGGCATCGTCATCTTTTGAAGCAATGAAATCCGCGTGCCTCTCGAGGTGTCAGCGGGATGTGAGGCATTCAGTCAAAATGAGGCAGGGACCTAGGGCTTTCTCTAAGGTCTCCACAGGGGATTCAGACATCCCTTCAGGTTTTGAGATCAAAGACGAGCCTGTATTCTAGCCACTGCAAGGAAATCCGGCCTCCTTTCAAGTTAGGGCTTCTCGCTGTATATTCCCCTTGAAGCAGCATACTCGGGGTCCCTCCCACGTACCTATTGCTGAGAGAAGACTCCTCCTGAGGTGCTTCTGGAAAGTTGGCATACGTCTTGAGCCTAAGCCAGGGAATCAGCTCTCATCTCGAGACGATTTGGGGTACACGGAGCATTCTTCAAGTTGCTGTGCTGAAGTTGGTGTTCCTCTAGACTTGGGACAGTGTTCTCGGGGCATTTCTGGAGTTGCCTGAAGGAAGTCGAGCCACCGGTCTTGTTGAATGGGGAACGGGGAAAGGCTCTGGAGGCAATGGAGGGGAATCGGGCCTCATCTCGAGTTGATTTGGGGCACATGGAGCTGCTTTGCGTTGCTGCGGTGACTTCAGGGTCCGTCTAGACTGGTGACAGTGTTCTTGGGGACTGTCTCGAGATCCATTAAGCAAGTCGAAGCTCCTGACTTGTTTGAATGGGATCACGGAATAGCTCTGCATGCACTGCAGGGGAATGGGGCCTCATCTCGCATCTAGGGGGAAGTCTCATGGTTTTTCTCGAGTTGCGGTGGGGACCTGGGGTATGTTCTCGACTTACGGCGGGGATGGCCCTTCAAAACACGAGTTTCTTCAGTGACGTCAGGACTCCTGTCTAGTAACGAGGGACACATCAGGAATCTCTTCGAGGCTTGGCAGGGCAACAGGGATGCTTCTCGAGGTGAGGCAGGGCACCCAAGGACCCTTTCCAGTAGCCAGAGTTATTTTGGGATTCCTATCAGTATTCAAGATGAGTCAGGCATCGTCACCTTTTGAAGCAATGAACTCCGCGTGCCGCTCGAGGTGTCTGCGGGATGTGAGGCATTCCGTCAAAATGAGGCAGGGACCTAGAGCTTTCTCTAAAGTCTCGACAGGGGATTCAGACATCCCTTCATGTTGTGAGATGAAAGACGAGCCTGTATTCAAGCCACTGCAAGGAAATCCGGCCTCCTTTCAAGTTAGGGCTTCTCGCTGTATATTCCCCTTGAGGCAACAAACTCGGGGTCCCTCCCACATACCTATTGCTGAGAGAAGCCTCCTCCTGAGGTGCTTCTGGAAAGTTGGCATACGTCTTGAGCCTAAGCCAGGGAATCAGCTCTCATCACGAGACGATTTGTGGTACACGGAGCATTCCTTGAGTTGCTCTGCTGAAGGTAGAGTTCCTCTAGACCTGGGACAGTGTTCTCGGGGCATCTCTGGAGTTGCCTGAAGGAAGTCGAGCCACCGGTCGTGTTGAATGGGGAACGGGGAATGGCTCTGGAGTCAATGCAGGGGAATCGGGCCTCATCTCGAGTTGACTTGGAGCACATGGAGCTGCTTTGCGTTGCTGGGGTGACCTCAGGGTCCATCTAGACTGGTGACAGTGTTCTTTGGGACTGTCTCGAGATCCATTAAGCAAGTCGAAGCTCCTGACGTGTTTGAATGGGATCACGGAATAGCTCTGCATGCACTGTAGGGGAATGGGGCCTCATCTCGCCTCTAGGGGGAGGTCTCATGGTTTTTCTCGAGTTGCGGTGGGGACCTGGGGTATGTTCTCGACTTACGGCGGGGATGGCCCTTCAAAACACGAGTTTCTTCAGTGAGGTCAGGACTCCTGTCTAGTAACGAGGGACACCTCAGGAATCTCTTCGAGGCTTTGCAGGGCAAAAGGGACGCTTCTCAAGGTGAGGCAGGGCACACAAGGACCCTTTCCAGTAGCCCAGGGATTTTGGGATTCCTACCAGTATTCAAGAGGAGTCAGGCATCGTCACCTTTTGAAGCAATGAACTCTGCGTGGCTATCGAGATGTCAGCGTGATGTGAGGCATTCCGTCAAAATGAGGCAGGGCCCTAGGGCTTTCTCTAAGGTCTCCACAGGGGATTCAGACATCCCTTCATGTTGTGAGATGAAAGACGAGCCTGTATTCAAGCCACTGCAAGGAAATCCGGCCTCCTTTCAAATTAGGGCTTCTCGCTGTATATTCCCCTTGAGGCAGTAAACTGGGGTCCCTCCCACATACCTATTGCTGAGAGAACCCTCCTCCTGAGGTGCTTCTGGAAAGTTGGCATATGACTTGAGCTTAAGCCAGGGAATCAGCTCTCATCTCGAGACGATTTGGGGTACACGGAGCATTCCTCGAGTTGCCGTGCTGAAGTTGGAGTTCCTCTAGACTTGGGACAGTGTTCTCGGGGCATCTCTGGAGTTGCCTGAATGAAGTCGAGCCACCGGTCGTGTTGAATGGGGAACGGGGAATGGCTCTGGAGTCAATGCAGGGGAATCGGGCCTCATCTCGGGTTGACTTGGGGCACATGGAGCTGCTTTGCATTGCTGGGGTGACCTCAGGGTCCGTCTAGACTGGTGACAGTGTTCTTGGGGACTGTCTCGAGATCCATTAAGCAAGTCGAAGCTCCTGACTTGTTTGAATGGGATCATGGAATAGCTCTGCATGCACTGCAGGGGAATGGGGCCTCATCTCGCCTCTAGGGGGAAGTCTCATGGTTTTTCTCGAGTTGCGGCAGGGACCTGGGGTATGTTCTCGACTTAAGGGGGGGATGGCCCTTAAAAACACGAGTTTCTTCAGTGACGTCAGGACTCCTGTCTAGTAACGAGGGACACCTCAGGAATCTCTTCGAGGCTTGGCAGGGCAAAAGGGACGTTTCTCGAAGTGAGGCAGGGTACCCAAGGACCCTTTCCAGTAGCCACAGGGATTTTGGGATTCCTATCAGTATTCAAGAGGAGTCAGGCATCGTCACCTTTTGAAGCGATGAACTCCACGTGCCTCTTGAGGTGTCAGCGGGATGTGAGGCATTCCGTCAAAATGAGGCAGGGACCTAGGGCTTTCTCTAAGGTCTCCACAGGGGATTCAGACATCCCTTCAGGTTTTAAGATCAAAGACGAGCCT